CCTAAGGGTCCCTAGTTCGTTCCCAAGGGGTACTTGCAACCCACCTAGCTATGAATGGGTACAAACTTCACAAGCTCGGGAAATGTAGGCGGTTGAATACAGTACAGTACCGGCCTAACTGTCTCCTTGTGCGCTATATTCAGACTCCCTATTGGGGCCGTCAAGTCTATGGAGCCCACACACTCAATTTCATAATACAGTGCGAAGAAAATGATCTAGAATTCAGCCCAAGAAAGAAAATGTCATCAATTGTGAACACCTTCCATATTCTTGGTCGCATAATAACCCTAAATATCATTGGAAATTAAATTGGATTTCCGCTGGGGCTTATTTTATTAAGGACTGGAGGAGAGAAGGTTTAATTCCCCTTCCTCGTGTGGGATGTTGACGACTCAGCGAGCAGTCAGTCGGGCAGAAACTTTCTCTTGTCTCTAATCCGTCGCAGATTATAGGGATTTTAGGGCAGCAGCCGTGACTGTCAGACGTACGAGCAGCTGAGACCTTAACTTCTCGTGCCATAATTACTGCTGTTGGGATCTGTTGTCGCCACACTGTTTAGTTTATCTATTAGTCACTTTTAATATTAAATTTGAGAGCATATCAACCAAATCTTCAGTCATCAGTTTGTACTTTTTCTACTTTGTTTCTTTCTTAACTGCGCATGCTTACTTGATGGCTGCCATAAGGAGACAGGTGACCCTCTATACATGACAGGAGTATCTTCCCGGGTGTGACGTGACGTAACACAGGCATCCTCAACCTCCCCCCCCCTCCCGCAGACAAAGGTTCTCCTGCCTCGACAGTATGTATTCCTTCAGCTGCTCACTAATGGAGTTCACTCCCTGACTCACCACCAGCCGTGAGTCACAGCGGTTCAGATCACTCTTAACAAAGCTGCAATGATCCACACCACTTAATAACTTCCTGTGTGTCTTTGTCGACCTAACCATCCTCCGTGATCCTGAGGAGTTGAGTTGAGGCAGTTACATACCTTCAGTGACGGTTATTTATATATATATATATATATATATATATATATATATATATATATATATATATATATATATATATATATATATATATATATATATATATATATATATATATATATATATAGTAGTGGAGCTGGAGAACACTTCCTCCCGCAACACAAATTTTACACAAGTCATGACAGAAGTTGCCTTTGTGTTCGTTTCCGAGAAAAAAGAAAACACACAACTTGTGTTTTCCTTTCCATGGAGTCGCCTCCAGTCTTGCTAACTCTCTCTCGCCGTGTACTTTCTGTTTAAACTTTCACCAACACAACCTTTCTACTGGATGAAACGGGTCATTCTTTAATTATGACCAACAACAGTGAGAAAAATAGGACACTGAGAATGGGTCAGCGTCATGCTCTCTCTGTTGGTCCTACGTGACGACTGCCTCCACCTGGCCCTCACACTACCATGCCTTCTCAACGATGGAACACTAAAATAGTTCACGTTTGTATGGACAGACACAGGTTACATTGTTTCTATTAAGCCTGTCTAAAACTTGGTATATAGATTATGTATATTGTTTCTAGTAATGTCCTCTAGTCAACACCTTGGTCTTTGATATGTAAGTATCCTTTTAGGCCTACAGCACAGTGTACTGCTGCACACTAATGGATTTTGTTATTATTGCTATTATTATTATTATTATTATTATTATTATTATTATTATTATTATTATTATTATTATTATTATTAACACAAAGAAAATGTGGCAGCAATGAAGAGAAGATTGGCAATGTGGCAGACTGGGGCCCTTGATGATCTCCTATGTGAAGCAAGAACACTGCAGGAGAGACTAAAAACTACGGGTGATGGAAAGCAAAACACCGATGACGTGGCAAGAAAATTTGGAAACAAAATGCGTGTGGGAAAAGTGTCACTGGCGGTAAGATCTCTCACGGAGGAATCCTCCGGTGGGGTGATGCCAATAAGCAGAGAGACATTAAAACTACTGAAAGAGAAACATCCCCCTGCAAGCGACGAAGATGGCATCAGGTTCGAGGGTGTCTATACCCCACCAAACGCTGTCCTGTTCAAGAAAATAACAGGAGAGATGGTGTGGAAAAAGGCACTGAAGACTCGAGGAGGAGCCGGCCCTTCAGGTCTGGATGCAAACGGTTGGAGAGTCATCCTCAGCACAAACAAGTTTGGCCCTGTAGCAGCGATCTCTGCACTGCCATTGCCGCCCTTGCAAGAAAGCTTGCATCCTCTTGCTGCCATCACCTCCAGGCCCTGACGGCCTGCCGCCTTATTCCTCTGGAAAAGAAACCAGGATGTAGGCCTATAGGGGTGGGGGAAGTGCTGAGGCGGATCATCGGAAAATGCATAATGGAGGTGGTAAAGGACGATGTCAGGGCAGCAGCAGGAAACCTACAAGTTTGTGCTGGCCACGAGGCTGGAGGGAGGCGGCCATTCACGCCATGAGATTGATATTTGAGCAGCGTGATTGTGAGGCCGTTCTCCTGGTGGATGCTTCAAACGCATTCAACATACTTAATCGCAAGGCTGCACTACAACTATCAAGATCAAATGTCCAAGCTTTGCGATGTATGTTGAAAATTCGTATAGGAATCCATCAGACCTCTATATAGTAAACAACAAGGCCCTAAGAGGTGATACCATCATATAGTCAACCGAGGGAACAACACAGGAGACCCTGTTGCAATGGCAATGTATGCAATAGGCCTATCAGTGCTCCAACAAGAAATATTATTTGAAACAACTGGGGTCAAACAAGTGGCGTATACTGACGACCTTACAGGAGCAGGAAAATTGGAGGGCATCAAAAGTGGTGGGACCTGGTAACATCGCGAGGTCCATAAATAGGGTACCACCCAAACGCCAGCAAGTCCTTCCTCATCGTGAAGCCAGAACATTATAAACTAGCTGTTCAATGTTCTGAATAAATATACAGGAGCGAACACAAACACCTGTATAGATTTTTAGGTTCGTCGATAATAAGGTAGTGCTCGACCTGTCTGCTTGTCAACGCTCTATAGACGACGATGCAGTATACACTTCCATACGTCGCCAGGCACATTAATTAACATGTGACATCTTAAATACATTCCAACACCTAAGCTGAATAAATGTACATAAATGAGCACATACATAATATACATACATAATATATAATACACAATAATATACATACACTAGCAATGGAGGTTTTTGGCGGAAGTGAGGTCAAAATAACTAAGGACGGCAAAGACATCTAGGCGCGGTAATTGGCACTACGGACTTCAAGACCGAGTACGTAGGGGAAAGGTGAATGAGTGGGTTAGTGAAATCCAAGCTCTGTCTGAGATTGCTAACACAGAGCCACATGCGGCCTTTGCTGCATTCACCCATGAGTCAAGCATCGCTGGAACTACCTGATGCGTACCATCCTGAGATCAGACCCCTCCCTCACCCTCTGGAAGAAGCTATCAGTGTCAAGTTCATTCCCAAACTAGTGAAACACCTGACTTAACCCCAGCAGAAAGAGCACTTCTTGCACTTCACCAAGACTGGGAGGATGGGACTAACTAATCCAGGAGATTGCTGCCACTGAACATCAAAATTCACTTAAGCTCACGGCAGCCCTCAAGGACAACATAATAGCCCAGAATGCAACAGGGAAGTGGATACCAGCGAAGTAAATAAGATTCGTAGGTCCATTACGACAGATCGACAGCACTGCCAAAATGATAAGTTGCAGCAACTATTGCTGAAGGTTCAGAAAATTTGAAAAAAAGTAGCTATAGCGCAGGAGGTGGGCGCCTCGAACTGGTTAACTACGTTACCGATAAGGGCAAATGGTTTCAGTCTTAACAAACAAGAATTTATAGATGCCATTGCTCCAGGTACGGATCGGCCAGTAGAAGGTTTGCCCTCCCAATGCGTGTAGTGGCTCTTCCTATGACGGCGATCACGCCATGGTGTGCAAGAAGGGCTTCACATGCATGAGGCATGACGAGGTAAGGACCTCACAGCAAATATGTTGAAGGAAATCTGCCGGGACGTCATGGTAGAACCGACCCTCCTTCCATTGGATGGCGAGATTTTCCAACACAGGACTTCAAACACATCTAACGAAGCCCGTGTTGACGTCAGTGCTCGAGCATTCTGGAAGCGGGAACAGCGAGCTTTCTTCGACATCAGGATTTTTGATCCCATGGCCGCATGTCACCGTAACCTAGCTCTCGATGCTGCTGGGGAGGAACGAGAACGACAAGAAGAGGGCATATGGGGAGAGAATTCAAAACGTTGATCAAGGCAGCTTCACTCCTCTAGTGTTCACAACCTCTGGTGGGACGGGCCCAAGTGCAAGATGTTTCTACGCCAGACTCGCGAGTTGATCTCCGAACAGAAGCAGCAGCCAGAAGCTATGTTACAGCCTGAATGAG